ATACATACACACACGTTAAATACAAATTTTAAATATAAAAGTTTATAAGTTATTATAAAATAAACATTAATTGAACAGTACTTTTTACCTGTAATACAAAAGTAAATTAAAAAATCAAATACGTTTGTACTTCTACTGGAGTAATAGTTTATTAGAGTATCTGTACTTTTACTCAAGTGCTTGATTTGTGTACTTAATCAACTGCAGGTTTCTATGGGTGCCAACAAGAGAGAATCTTTCGTATTATTTATGAGTCTTGGAGCAACAAATGATTTACAACTGAAATGCCACTAGTCAGAATGGTTTTGTGAAGTGCTAAGTGAATATCTGAATGATTTGCTCTTGAACTTCTCACATGAACTCTCATAAACACACCAAGGAGAGCTTGAGCGAATGTCAATACTCTCAGGTAAAGTTTATTAAGGTTCAGTATGTCCTTCACAAAAATCATATTGAAATGTCTGTTAACTATAGCACACTAGTCATTTGGTCGATTTTAATTTTTGGATGAACTATTCCTTTTATAACAGTGGTTCCTTTCATGAATATTGATCCATCTACATCTACAGAAGAATACAGACATTCATGAATACATCCAAACATTATGAAAACTACTCAGTGCCAGTGTTTTTTTTTTGTTTTTTTTAAAGGACATAGTTCTAAAGAAGCATTTCTCCATGCAAACCCTACTCTGGAGTTAATCTATTCCTAACATGGCAGCTCCATTCCTCTCATCATCAGACTAATAACATGGGCCATTTGGTGCTTCAGCGTCCCATAAACCAGCGTTAGAGTCGGCCCTCATCCCTCATCAGGACTAAAGCTCCATACCTGCTCCAAAATCGATATTTCCATCACTCTGACATGTTTGTGTGAGTGCACGCAATGCAAATAATAAGTCTTATTTACATCCATAATGTGTGATAAAAATGTGGAATAATGTAGCAATGATCACATAAGCAACAAATAATAATGAATCCACTATGCGCGCTCACATTCAGAGATTTATTGTCAATTTGTATTTTTTTTTTTTTTCCACAAGGCACACTGTATGCTCGTGCCATTTATAGAAGCCAGCCCTATTTCCACATGAATTTAAATACGTATCCCCGGAGGGAGACCTGTCACTCCGTCTGTTATCAAGGGGAAATAAACTAACTGAAGAAAAGAACAGCCTCCTTGCATTGAGACATATGTGTTTATTACAACATGATGGTGATGTTGAAAGAGTCTATTATTTTTTGCCACTCTGTAATTTTCAGGCTCCTGTAGGCATTCAGCATTTCTGTCTTCCAGATGAAGTCCAAATGGTTTAATTACTACTGCTACCTCCTCTGAACGGATTGAGGAAACGCTATTATGTCCTGGTTGTGGTGCTAGTACCAAATTTCTGTTGTATTACTACAGTGCCACCAGAGCTCTTGTCTCTATGAGACATGGAATATACAGGTGTGATCACTGAATATTCTACATAAATGATTATAATATTTAAGATTCAATCAAATTGCTTAATGTCATCTCAGCATCTCAAGCTGGAACAATCAGCCAATAAATTAGTAAACAAGTAAATATTATAAGAAAGCCTCTTATGCTCACCAAGGTTGCATGTATCAATTGTAATCTAAAATAAATGTTTTCTATGTTGATATATTTAAAAATGTAATTTATTCCTGTGATTAAAGCTGAATTTTTAGAACCATTACTCCAGTCTTCAGTGTCGCATGATCCTTCAGAAAACATTCTAATTTGC